CACACCCGAGCCGAGTCACGGTTGAACTTTCGCGGGGTTGTGGATGTTGGAGACAACATTCCCCTACCAAAATTTTGCTGTTTGGAGCTTGCTTTATTTGTTGTATTTTGTAGTACCATCCCCAATCTGAGTATTTTATGGGTCTATACTCCTGGGGTCACCAATAGTAATGCTCTGTTTCTTCATTAGTAGGAAAAATTAAATTGTGACTTGGTTTAAATTTTCAAGCTTGCCATGTTGGCCCGACAGGATCTGGATGGCCCCCCTAGCAGATAGGCAACCCCTGCTTACACTCGAGCACAGCCTTCATAGCACTGTGTTCCCCCCCGTGCGCCAAGCCAAGGGGCCCGTCAGTCGCATCAGCCTACGGCCCGTGTCGGCCTGGCCGAGCGCCGTAGCGGGAGCGAGGCCCAAGGTTGCTGCGCAGTTAACAGTTTGCCCGGGGGGGGGGGGGGGGGGGGCAGGCAGTGATCGATGGGGTAAGGTGGTGGTGCGCTGACCCGGCGGCCCGGGCCGCAGGCGCTGCAGCGCACTACTTGCACCCCCGCGTCACTTCCGCCCCGGGAGCTCACACCACCACACCCACCGGCAGCCCTGACCCCGGCCAAACTCAGCCAGCAGGCTGCCACCGCCGCCGCGATGGCGTGCGCGCGCTGCACCGGCACGGCGTCAGCAGCGCCGTGGCGTGGCAACCTGCCCCGCCTGCATGCCAGCCGAACGTCGCACTTTAATTTTTCATACCGTCGGCCTTGGCGGGGGGCTGCGCCGGGTGGACAGCGGACAGCGCAGCACGGCTTGCACTATGTGGCCGGACCTCCGTCGTCCGCTTTCACCCTCACGGTCACCTCCGTGACCTTCCTCTCCGACCGCGCGGGGGCTGCGGCGTAGGCCACCCCCCGGCCACCGCCGTGTGGTCCTCGCGGTTGCGACACACGCGGCCGATGGCGGCGGCCACCCTTCGCGGCGGCCTCCTCCTCCTCCCCTCGGCGGGCCCCACCCCGCGGGGTCGAAGCACGGCCGGCAATGAGCATGGGCGATGTACGCGCGCAAAGCGAGGTCGGGAATGCAGGGCCAGCAGCCAGAGGGGAGGCGCCATCCCCGCCCACCCCGCCCGGGGGCCTGCGCCGCGGCGGCCTCAACCCGTACGTCGCGTACGCCGCCTTGGGTCGCTGCACTCGCGGTGCCCGCCGCAGCCACCGCCGCCCACGGGCGCCCCCGTCAACACAACCGTCTTTTTTCACGAAGGTCCCCGCCCCAAATACGAGGCACCGCCTCGGCCAGGATTAGAACCCACGGACCGCCGAGGGAAACCGTCAGGCGGCGGCCGTGGAGTTAAAGAAATGCGCGGCCCGCAGGACGATTGGGGCGGGGCGGGGCTGGGCGGCGTTATAAATCGGATTGCCTTGGTGCGTCACGCTGAGCTCCGCCCAGCGCCGGCCGAATTGTCGCAGCGTCCGCGCTGTTGGTGCCAAGAAATGCGCGCGCCGGCGCGACCATCCCTTGAACCGCGGCGGGAGTGCGGGTACGCGCCGCGTACACGCACACTACCACATCGCGAGGACCGGTTCGTTCGCGAGGTGAGTAGCCTCTCTTCGCGGAGTGTATTTTCGAAACGTGGCAAATAATGCTCGAGAATTCAGGTCGACGGCGGGGGTGGTGTGCGTGGCGCCGGTGGCGTGGTGGTGCGGGTGGTGGTGGTGGTGGTGGCGCAAGGACCGTGGCGGCGGCAGGGGCGGCACCAAAGCAGGGGACCCTGCCCAACTCGCCACACCACAGCACACCTCGCCACGCCACCGCCCTGCCCTCTGCCACTCCCCTGCCAGCCGCACAAGTTTAACTCGACCGCACGCACTACAAGGTTGATGCAGGGGCAGAGGGAGGGTGGGGATAAATCGATCAAAAGGAGCACCGCGCACACGACTGTTTGGCGAACGGAACGTCGGGAGCGATGGGGGAAAGGAGAGGACACCGACGACGACGACGGGGTTTGGAAAGCGGCAGAGCGAACGAGGGGTACTCGGAGGAAGGGAGAGAGAAGGGGACGTGGAGTAATGAAGGACGGTGGCCGTGGCGCGACGGCGGTCAAGGATGCAAACAAGCCCCCTCCCCCCGCGAGGATATGGCGAGTCGCGCGCGCTGCGCAGCGCGGCTCTTTAGCCCCGCGTGTCAGCGGTGCAGCCGAAATTGGCCGCCAGGACGGCGGCGTCCTCCTGCCCCTGCACGCTATACAGCGCACCTGACCGGCCCACGCCACCGCCGCCGGCGCCAGGCCGCCGGGAGGAGTCCTCAGCGCATGCCACATGCCCGTCCGCGCCGTATACATCGCATGCCAAGTTTATACCCCCACGCAGATTTAAAGGCGCTGTTTTCGTGCTTGCGGCGTAGATGGCAAGGCCAAGGCCCCGAAAGGGCGCTGGGCTGGGCTGGGCTGTGCCGGGCGAGCCGCGGGGCAGCGGTGGACTATAGGGGCGCTCTCCCCTCCGAGAGGGCTCGTCGCTAAAGGGAAGTCCCACAAGAAAGGGGGCTCTGTGTTCTGCTTGTGTGAAAGCCGCCCGCGGAGAGGAGGGGATGGCGGTCGGGGCGGCAGGGAGGCCGGGATGGGTGGAAGGCGACGGGGTGGTTTTCATGGCGGTGTGACGTCGTAGGCGCCGTCGAGGGAGATGGGGCCCACTTCGTGGAAGGGGCGAAAGCGCTGCGGGTCGGAGGCGGGCTGGGGAGGGAGCACTGCCGCCCCTTCCACTGGGGTCGTCCAGCAGACGAGGGGGTGCGGCGGGCCAGGACAATCCAAGCCAGCAAAGTGCACCGCTGGATGTGGGGCGCCGCCAGTGCAGCTGAAGTAGGTCAGGGGCGGGCGGGGGCGGGGGCCCTCTACTGGGATGAGGGATGGGGGATGGAGCCGGCGTCTAGTCGGTCTACCCCCCGAGCGGGCCGCGCGGGTCCCCGCCGCGCTCACCCCGTGTGTCGCCTGCTCAGCCCGCTGCCGGCTATTTCAAGCACCGTGTCCACCACGGGCCGCCCCGCGGTCCCAACGCGACCCGCAGAGCGACCGGACAGAGCCGACTCGCAACACACATTCCGTGCTCGACGTGATGTGCAGTGCCGTGCGCTCGCCCGCGGCCCGCCTCGGTAACTCCATCCGAACCATACCAGACCCGGCCGCCATACGGCCGCGAAACCACTTGGTCTTTAAAACACAAACCAGGCGGGCGCGGGCGCCGCTGACCACAAGCACGGCGAGGACGCCGCCGGCGGCTGCACGTCGTCGACCTCCCGTCCACCCACCACCACCACTACCACC